ACTATTTAAAATCACAAACAATATGAGTCACGATACAGAAGGCTATTTTTGTCCCTCTTAATTGGTTTGAAGAAGTCGATGCAGGGCTGGCAGGCAGAACGCCGTGGGGCGCACCGCTTCCACCCTAACAACGAGAAAAAGCTGCGTGATCTACAGAATGAGAATTTTTCCTGAGCTCACCAGAGAGCCAAGTTCACGGGAAATGAAGGGAGGTGACGTTCAGATCCCGGCCAGCCCCTGTGAGGAGGGACAGGACCCAGAGCCGGGCCACCTTTAGCAGAGTGCGGAGGAAAAGGGGTGGCCAGAAAGGTGGGAGAAAACACGAACATTCTAATGCATTCTTAAAGGAGTATGGGACAGTGGGACCCCGAGGGTTACTGGGGGCCCAGACCCGGTGGAGGTCACGCTCACCCGTGAGCTCTTTTCCATACACCCCCACTCGGGATCGCCAGGAAGAGTGGGGACAGGGCCAGAGGCCAGAGAGAGTGGCCCTTTCTTCGATATACAAACATGCAAAGCCATGCCCTGTCCCTGATCCTCCTCTTTAAAACACGCTTCAACTTGAACTTGAAAAAGAGAGCAAATGAACTCCAGACCAAGCTGGAGGAAGGAGATAACTGAGACAAGAGCAGGAATCAACCACACGGAAAACAGAAACATGGACTACATTGGTGAACTTTGTAAAAAAGGGTACTTTGCAAAGATCACTATGACCGATAAATCTCTAATCAGAACGATCAGAAAAAGTAAGAGGACACAACCCCCCGCTGGGAAATAGGGAAAGCGGGAGGCACTGGGGTCCCCCGACTCCACGCCGCAGGCAGAACGAGGGGCCACACTGAAGATCTCTGCAGACAGACTTCCTGACTCGGACGGAACGGACGCGTCCCCCCAAGGACACGCCACACAAGCTGCCCAGAGGAGAGACGGACGGCCCATCCGTCCTGGCCGCCCGCCAACGAGCCGAACTCGAACTCGCGTCAGGCGCCGTGTCACCGTGGAGAAACCTCCAGGCCCGGTGCCGTCATCCAACAATCGTCTCTCCAACGACGAGGGAAGGAAAAACCCGACCTTGCAAACTCGTTCAGAAAATGGCGAGGGGCACAGCTCCCAGCCCGCATGACGAGGTGCGTGGGAGCCGGGAGTGAAGACACGCAGACGGGCAGCTGCTGACCGGCAGCCCCGCGGACCACGACCCCAGGGGAACCGCAGGACACGGGCAGAGCCGCTGCTGCATTTGCAGACGGGGTGACACTCGGTGACCCAGTGCGTTTATCCCAGGAGCGGGGGGGTCGGTTTACCGGTTGAAAATCAATCCGTTTCACTCACCGTGTTCGCAGAATAAAAGAGAAAAAAAAATACGGGGCTTTGAATCGATGCGGAAAAGGCAGTAACAAAATTCAGCGTCCGTACGACACAGTTTGAAAACTCTCCCAGTCGGGGATAGACGGAAACCTGGCGACTCTGACAAAGGCCACGCAGGAGAGACCCTCCGCTGGGCATCACAGCCAGTGGTGATGTGTCGCCCGTGCTCCCCAAAGCCCGGCGCTGAGGCCGGGCTGCCCACCCGGGACCCCGGCACGACGCCGAAACGGAGCCCTGCGCAGTGCGGAGAGGCGGGCGAGGCAGAGGAAAGGCACGAGGCACGAGCAGACAGGCGTGAGCTCCCTCTGCTCGCGGACCAAAACCCTGAGGACTCGGGGAGACGAGCTCTGGAGCTGATAAATGGATACCGCAGAAGTCGCGGCGCGAAAGCGGATGCAAATATTAGTTCGGGTTTTATACACGAGAGCAACAAATGACTGCCAAATGAAAAATACCCTAATCCCATTTACAACAGCATCAGGAATCATAAAAGCCTTGGGGGTGTATTCACACGAGATGCGTAGAGCCACTAACTGAAAACAGGAAAGCTGCTGAGACAAATTAAAGAAGTCCTAGCGAGAGGGAGGAACCGCGTTCGCGCGCTGGATGACTCGATGTTATTAAAATGTCGGCTCTCCCTCCCCGTAATCTGCAGATTCCGTCCCTGCCCAGGCAGAGCCCCAGCGGGCTTTTAAAACAGAAATTGATAAAATGATTCTACACCTTCCGCGGAATTGCAGAGGACCGAAAATGGATCTGTGGCAATGCAAATGCGCCATTGAGCTTTGTAAATGTGGTTATTGCACCTGAGGAACTGAATCTTTAGTGTAACTTCATTTCGATGAATTTGAGCGGCCCCAGGCGTCTGGTGACTTGCCGAGTGCCCGGCGCAGACTGGACCTGGGGGAGGGGGAGGCTGCGGGCGGGCGGGCGGGGTTCGCTCTCTTTGAGAGTGGGGCGCCCTTGCGCGATCACGGCGGCGAGGACAGCACGGTGCCGGCGTGCGGACGGAGGAACAGACAGACGACTGCGCCAGAACAGAGTCCAGTAGAAAACCGACCACGCTGGGTCCCTCGAGCTGGGCAAAGCCACCCAAGCCACCCAGTGGAGACACAGGAGGTCCTTCAACAAGTGGCTCCGCAATGAGGGGCTGGCCAGGGGGGCAAACACGCATTTCCGCCCCGCCTCCCCCCACCCACCAAATCCTGGCGGGACGCACCAGAGAGCCGCGTGGCAGAGGTGCGGCCGTGGTTTTGAGAGGCACAGAGTGCTGTTGTGTCCCGGGAGTTGACCCTAGAGCCAGGGCGGGGCTTCAGGGACGTGTCTGGGTGGCGACGCTCTTCCTGTATCTCGACGGGGCGGCGCACACAGCACACGATTTTCACACGCACCGAATGGCATGCTTAAGGCCGAGGGTTTGGCCGAGTGTGGAAATTGGTCCCCCGGCCGCAGTGGGCAGAACCGTTAGCTGGTGAGTGACACGCGCCGGTCTCCGGAGGGAAGCCCCCACTGGCCACCGACCCGGCCTTCTTCCCTCTGGGACAGGCGCTCGGGCGTGCCGCTGCTCTTCCCGCTCAGGGACAGAAGCCCCACGCCAGTGGGCTCTGTCTCGTCATCGCAGGGTGGGGAGCCGGACCGGTGCCCGGCCCTCGGCAAGTGAGCACCTGCGACTCCAGGCCAGGGTCGTTCCGCCGTCCTTCTGGTCAACCACGGAACCGGCCCCAGGCAGCTTCTCTGCCGGGCCCTGCACGGGGGGCCAGGCACGTGGATGCAGCAGACATCGGCCCTCGGGGAGCGCAGGTGAAACGCAAGCGCAGTGAGAAGCGAAGGGGGTGACTTTTCCTAGAGGGGGCCTGGGGTGGGTGTGGGGATGGGGGGGCGCAGCCCGGACCCCTCCACTGCCCTGCTGTCCCGGGAGGCTTCCTAAGAGGAGGACCGTGTGGTCCCTGTCTCGGCGCAGCCCTGAGCGCAGGGAGGGAGGCAGGAGAGCGAAGAGGACAGAGGCTGCGGGAGCAGAGCTCCAGACTGACAGCTTGGGCACGGCATCGGGCGCTCTGGACAATGGAGAAGCTGCTGTGGGGGACACAAGGCCAGGATGGCACTCAGGTTCCTGGCCTGGGGGACGGCGTGGATGGAGCCACCACTCACTGGGCGGAGAGTCCCCCCGGGAGTCTTCGGGACTGTGGTTGGTCGTGTGGGACCCAAAGCAAGAGCAGGGGCCCTGCAGCCACTGAGGATGGCGCCCTGGTCCTGCCCAGGCTCCTGGCCTCCAGCCTCACACTGGGACCCACGGTGGGGCTGGCTGGGGGTGGGGGGCAGGGCTTCGCACCTCAACCACCAGACGTGGTGGGGGGCCAGGTCCTTGTGAACCTCTCAGGACCAGCCATCAGGGGCAGCCGGGAGGACGCTACGTGTACAGACTGGCCGGCAGGCCAGGCAGTTGGGGCGCTGAGAACCAGTAGTGGAGAAGCACGTTGGTGGGAGCCCCAGGGGCCAGGCCTTCGCGGGCAGGAGGAGGGGCCACCCCCCCTCAGGGCTGCGCCTGCACACAGCTCACCAGAGCCACTGCGCCCTCCAGAGCCGCCCCTTGTCGCCAAGATTTGGGGAGCATCTTAGGATTCTTCAAGTCCATGTGGTACGAGCAGCAAAGGAAACCTGGAGGGGGACCCCACCAGACAATCACTTTAAAAAGGGAGGTGCTGGGGAAGGTGGGTGGGTCAACAGACAACAGGAAAGGTGGCCTTAGAAGAGCTCAGGTTTTCGAATGTGGTGAAGAAAACACACGCCGGGCAGCAAGAGAAAGGCATCTCTGAGCTCAGCGTATTTGCTAAAATATCTGGGACCAAGCCTCACCTTGTGCTACATGCCCACTTAACCCCAGAGGTGAGTCCGTGGATTCTGGAGGGAAGGGAAGACCTTAACTCTGCGGCAGTGAAAGAAAACCACGCAGGACAGGGTGCCAATGTCTGCGGGCTGCGTGGCCTCACCTCCTCGCAGACTAGCAGTTCCCAGAGCGCAAAAGCCCCGGTGGGTCCTGGAGCTGAAGGGTTTCCATGGTAACGCCTGAACGCCCCGCGCAGCCCCACTCTATCTCATGGTGAGCAGTGGGATTTTTCAGAGGCTCCGTGACACGGGATCTTGCAAGAGATTAAGTGCAGAAGCAGGTCTGAGACCCCAGCTGTCTTCTATTAAGCCAATTTAAAAAATGGCAAAAATGTAAAAAAAAATGCCACTCTTCTAAATTCTCTTTCAGGAAATAGTTTTCATTAAAATAGGCTATTTATGCTGATATTAATGAGTTTTTTAAAAGATTTTATTTATTTATTTTTAGAGAGGGAGAAAGAGAAACATCAATGTGCGGTTGCTGGGGGTCATGGCCTGCAACCCAGGCATGTGCCCTGACTGGGAATCGAACCTGTGATGCTTTGGTTCGCAGCCCGAGCTCAATCCACTGAGCTGCGCCAGCCAGGGCTAATGAGTTTATTTTTAATATTTTAAAACACCTTCCAGTTAATGTATTTTTTTTTAAGATTTTTTTTATTTTTAGAGAGGGGGAAGGGAGAGAGGGAGGAACATCAGTGTGTGGTTGCCTTTCGCACACCCGCTACTGGGGACCTGGCCTGCGACCCAGGCCTGTGCCCTGACCGGGAATGGAACAGGCGACCCTGTGGTCCACAGCCCACACTCAACCCACTGAGCCACACCAGCCAGGGCTAACGTATGATTATTGATAAGACCTACACAAGCAAAAGCTCTTTGGGGTCCTCAGTGATAAGTGTGAAGGGACTTGGGGACCCAAAGCTTGAGGGCTGCCCTTGGCCCGTGGGTACCTGGGCAGGGACTGTTTTCCCCACCCACGGGTCCTCTGCACCCAGCACATCCACTTGCGTGAGAGTCTGGCAGTTCACTGTGCACCTACTGTGTGCCAGAGGGCACGGTTACAGATGCCATGACACGCCTGTGAACAAAAGGGACAAGACACACTGGCCCGCCTCGCCGCCGTCAGCAGGAGGTGCCGGGGGCCACCGCGTCGGCCACAGAGAGGTCGCCGGCGCTGCAGTCAGTCAAACGCCCACGGAAGCGAAGGCTGGAAGCGCGCAGCAGCAGACGCCACTCGGCAGGTTAGTATCTTTAATGCACAACGAGCTCGCACAAACGCGTCAGACAGGCCCCGGGGGACGAGGGCCAAGGACGACCATGACGTTCAGAAGAGGACACACAGCTGCTTGACGCGGAAAGATGTCGCACTGGGTTAAAAACCAAAGAGGTGGGAATGAAAACAAAGGCTATTTCTTCGTGATCAAGTCGGCAAAGACTTAGCCAGGTGATGGTACTCGGCGCCGGCGAGACGGCAGAACGGGCCACTCGTCCGTGCGGGTGGCAGTGTGAGCGGACACGTTTGGGAAAACCACTCTGTCAGTGTGGAACCGGAGCCTCGGGGGTCCCCATACCCTCTCACTCCGCAGCCCCGCCCCCGGAACATGTACCCTAAGGGAACAGCGGGCCGGGGGAAGGCTTTACGCACGAGGACGCCCATCGACCTGCAGCGGGGGGAGGGGCAGGAGCAGCGCAGGGAGCAGCCCCGGCTCTGCCGGCCACCCGCCTGATGCGGCCACACCGGCCCTCTCTAAAGAAAATTAGTGGTGACAAGGGGGAGGGGGAGGCTGAAAGGAGAAATCCCAAAATGTTGAACTTGACTTCTCTTTGCTCTGCGTGATGTTCCAGAATCTCTACGACGTGTAGGTTTCCCGACAGACCCGACAGCAGGCTGGGACTTGTTTACGGAAAGGGGTCCGTGAGGCTGAAGTGAGGGGCTGGGGTTCCTCCGTGTCCACTGCGCCTGTGCTGTACCAACTGCCGCCACCACGCCGGGTGCCGGGGCCCTGAGGCGACACGGGAGACGGCAGCTCCACTCACAGTGGGCGGTGGCCTGCTGGACCCTTGGCCCCCTCCCTACACCGGGCTCGGCCATCAGCTTTAGCTGATGGCCCGGAGCCTGCCGTCGCCCCTCGTCGTCTCGAAACTGCCATCGCTTCCGGAGCACAGGTGATCCTGGTCCCACAGCTCTGGCTACCGGGCGGAGGGAGGGCCCCTGCAGGCGGCTCTCCCGACCCAAAGCCCCGCTGGCGGTCAGTGGTCCCTGCCTATCCTTTCACAGTCGTGGGGCCTGCCCTCCCGAGTCCAGGCCCACCTCTGCCCACTGTCCCGCAGGCCTGTCAGGGTCTCGGTCACCCAGTGGGTGGTTCTGTCCCCCGTGTTCAGAAGCGTGTGGGTCAGGGAGCCTCACCTGTACCTCTGTGCGGTCCTCGTCCTGACTCACTCACCGCATACTTACCTGGGACCCAGCAAACGGGTCTTGCTTTCCCCCAGAAGTCACTGAAATGCTGTAGGACACTGACATTAGTTAACCCCAAGGTCACACTCTGCATCGGACCAGGAGCCCACCCCTCACTCGGAATCCCACCCGACGGGGTGCGGTCAGGAGATGAAGCTTCCTTGCCAGATGGGGGTCGCATGGGCCAGAACGCAGTCACGGTCCAGTCCGATGCCAACACCGTGGAAAACAGATGTGTGCCTCGCATGCATCAACACTACTAACGGCCGGCCCCTCTGCAAACCAGCACGAGTTCCCTTAAATGGAAAGTATAACCCCAAGGTATGTACAAAGCAGCTCCCCTCCCCAACTCCATTCTTCGGCTTGGCCCTGCCCCCCACCGTGGCCTAGCCCTGGGCCACAGGGAGCTCGGGTCCCATCCTCTTTTGCAGGGGACTGTGTGTCTTCCCCTGGAGCCGGTGGGCTCCCCATGTGGCATCTCTTCCCTGTCCAACGTGAGGGCCACCCCCACTCGCTCGCCTGCTCCCGCTCCTACAGCTGCAGGAAGCGACCAAGGCTGTGGGTGTCCGACAGCGCCAGTCCCGAGCCCACAGACACAAGCACCAAGTCACTAGGCTAAAGGAAACCGGAGCAGCAGCCCGGGCCGGGCACCACGGCCCACGTTCAGCGCCATGGGCATGGGCGGCTCTGGCCCTGGTGTGCGGGCAGCGTGGCCGAAACGCTGCGCCTGGTGCAGACACGGGACACTGAAGTGGGCCTGGGGGCGGCTGAGAGAACCCAGCTCCCGCCCTGCGCCGGCACTGGGCCTCCCACCCCAGCTGCGCCAGGCCACACGGGCAGCTTCCAGGCACCTGCTCCGCCCACGGGCTTTCCTTCTCCCCGGGCACCGCTGCACCCTTCGTCGGCAACAGCCTCCACCCGGCACGCAGGCAGAGGGAAACGGAGCCCTGAGAGGAAGTGGTCTGAATGCCCGGACCGAGGCCCCGCCCCCAGAACGGCAGCTCCCGTGTCTTCCTCCAGTGCAAGCTTGAAGAGCACCACGGGCCCACCTGAACAGCCGCGGCTGGAATCCAGGGGGCCTGCCGCCTGTATTCAGGCGGTCGTTGAGCAGGGCAATTGGGCTAACGGAGTTTACAATGAGAGGGTGGCAGTGACCCACGAACATCAGCAACACTGGGTACCCTTGACCTTGCAAGGCAGCGGTTGCTTCAGGAACGTGGTCACTTCTCCCAACATCAAAACTCTTAAAGAAGGAAGGGTGGGCCCCAGGACCCAACCTCTGGGTAACCCAAGACGTGTCTCTGGGCGTGTGCAGAAGCCGTCCCTCTGCTGCCAGCAGAGCAGGGGCGGACGCGCCCAGGGTGACACACCCCAACTCCCCGCACTGTCCAGGCGGCTGCGCAGGTGCAGCTCACTTGGCGTTCAACTGCGGCGGGGGCATCGCCGGCCAAAGGACTCGGCAAAGACACTGGGGAAGGGAAGGCCAGGCGTCCCCATGAGGAAGCGCAAGGCCCCCACCACTAAGAAGTATGGCTTTGTCCCTCAGAGTTAGGACTTGAGTGTCAGTCTGCACTGTCGCCTGAGGATGGAGGTAGTCCGCAGCTCTTTTCCTTCACAAGCGTCACCGACGCCCTGCCTGGGGCGACCAGAGGCCAATGCTGCCTTGCCTCCGGTGCTTCCGGACGCATCCCAGAGGCGGTGGGTCTCCGGCTGTCAGAGGCCGAGACTTCTTGAGCAAAGGCTGGGCGGCTGACGGACAGCCCAGGCTTGGGGGGTGCGGAAAGCCACATGGGGGGGTCTGGAGACCGAAAGATGCTGGGGGTGGCTGAGGGGCTGAGGTAAAGGCCACTTGTCACCTGAATGGAGAAGAGAACAAGTCTCAAGCCCGATGAGGCCCACCACCAAGTGACACGGAACAGTGGAAGGGTGACCACGCACTAGCAGCCAGGGCGATCCCCACTGGAGGCCAAGCCCTCAGCTGGCAGAGGGCCTCAGGCACTGTGTGCACGGATCGGCTGCTCCGGCCGCTGCCGGGAGCCACCCAGTGGTCCAAAGCCAGTCACCTTCTCTAGCAGGCGAGTTCCAGATTCCCAGAACTCCCGGCGCCATCAGAACACCGGCAGCTCAAGCCAGGCATTCGTGGAGGTGCCTCTGCCAGGTCTCCCCCTTTACCTGCGTTGCGGCCTTTCCCGGCGGCAACAATGGGCCCGCTGACCGTGTACTCTGGTGCGGACTGGAGCGTGCTCCCAGACATGCGGGCACTACATTCCCACAGCGACTGCTCGGCCACCAAGAGCAAGGACAGGGCCCCTGCCTGCCACACTGGGCCCTGGCTGGACTGCCGACCTCACAGGTGGGAGGCCAGACTCCCTTCTCCAGGTCCCCACGTCAAGCCACCAGCCATCCAAAGTGCCTTCTGTCGTCAGCAAGCTCATCAGTGAGAACAGGGCAGCCAGGTGGGGCGCTGCTGCCCTGGGGGTCTGCAGAGGGCGGAAGAGGAGCATCTGCGAACCTCGCCAGGCCAGGCGGGGTCCGCCCGAGTGGTCCGCAGCATGATGTGGGGTCGATGTGACCGAGCAGCAGAGCTGCGGTCACCAGAGGAGCTGCAGCTGCAAGCATGAGAGGGAAACATGCACGGGGGCGCGGGTGCAGAGCTAGCACGGAGCACTAGGAAGCGAGGTGGGTGACAGGGTGCCCGAGAGTATGAAGATCTCCTTCTGGAACGGGTCTGGAGAGGCCGGAAGGGGTGTCTCAAACAAGAAGGATGCTGTGGTAGGGGTTTTTCTTCTATGCAGCAAAGGGGGTTGCGACCTGGTAGTTGCAGAGGCGACCAGGATGGCGGCAGGTTCTTAAAGGTTCCGTGCTCGGGCGGGCAGGGCGGGGGCGGGACCAGTCCCGGTGGAGGCGGGGTGCACAGGACAGGGGCCCGCACCCGCAGCGGCCAGCTGGCGGCACAGCGTCTGCCGCTCCCGCACAGCTCGATTGGAGGCGGAAGTCTTCCTGATTTGGGCGCGACGCGCGTGCCGCAGCGGGGACTTGTAGGTTCTCCGCAACTCCGCCAGGAACCCCTGATAGTTGTTTCGCAAGGGGCTGTCAGGTTGCATGTGGGGGATCGCCCACTTCTCTGCCTCCCCAGTCAGCCGGGACACGAGGAAGGCCACACGCTCAGCCTCCCCCGGGAAGCGGGAGGCCTGGAAGATCATGAACCTGTCCATCTGCATCAAGAACCCCGCTAGCTGGCCCGGGTCCCCGGAAAAAGGCTCAGGCAGAGAGGTCGGGGGCGTGGTCATTGGCCGGGTCCCGTTGGAGGTAATGGCTGAGATGGGCGGGGTGATCTGCAGCGCGCCCGGAATCCGAGCCCTGGTGCGTAACAGGGTCAGCTCTGCCATCACGCTCTCCAGCATGTTGGTGAGGTTGGCCTTCTCCGCCCTCAGCGTAGAGGCCTCCCGCCTGAGTGCAGAGTTGGTGAGGCGCAGGGAGGTCAAGGTGTCAATGACATCATCCATTTGGGCATTGGTAGAGGCTACGGAGGCTGGGGTGTCAGCTTTTGATGTCTGGGGTTGGACCATGTTGGCAGAGGTCAACCAAAGGATGAACTGCTGGGTGGGAGAAAGGGTTTGGATAACCGGGAACCTGAGGACCAGTGATGCTAAAATTTGGTAGACACAGGCAGGAATGAGGGAATAGGTAGGGTTCAAGTCTCAGATTGAAGGCAGGGTAGACACGCCAAGGATGGGCGCAGTCGCGGCCAGGCAGCTGGTGCAGGCCTTGGGGATCCCCGATTCCGGACCGGCTCCTTTATCGCGGACCTCACAAGGCCAAGGCGGGCAGCACAGGAGGTTGGACTTGTTCTGGGGCCTGAAAGATGGAAACACGTTTTTGAAAGGTTTCTTTAGATTGCAGAAAACCGGGTCGAAGTGGGGGAGGCGACGTGGGAGGGGCAAAGAGCTGGGGGCGGGGTGGGAGCCGGGCCCGAAGCCCCCTCGCAGCGCGAAGCCCCCTCCCGGGGCGCGGCCAGCACCCACCTGGGGCACAACAAAGGGCGGACGCACCTGCCGCGACGGCGGAGCCGGGCCTGGGACTGGCGGCGGACTCGTACCTGGGTCTCCGCGGCTTCCTCCGCGGCTCCGGGTGCCCCGCCGGCCGCAGCCAAGATGGCACGATCTGGGGATGCAAGCAGGCGGATGAGTCACGGCGGCCGTCCGCCGGAACTGCTTCCCGGTCAGGTCAGGCCAGGGAGGCCGCGGCGGAGGGAGGAGGGCGGCCTCGGGCGGGAGCGCGAGCTGGACCGGGGTCGTAGTGGAGGGCGGGTCGCGGCGTGACCTCGGTGGGGGCGGAGCGGAGCAGACGGCAGTGGCAGCAGTGGCGGCGGCGAAGGGGCCTTGCGCAGGCCCCACTAGTTGCCATGGAGACCGCTCGCTCGCGCGCGCGGCGGCGACGGAGGCCACACCCCGGAAGAAGTGGGCGCAGCCCCGCCCCTATGCCGCGCAGCCCCGCCCCTCCCGGGGCTCAGCAACCAATCAGGGAAGACTATGGTTACTGTTACTTTGTTACTGTGGGTGCTTTTTTCATTTCTCTAATTCTCCCCAAACTGCGTGCAGAGCCCTTCTTGTATTTGTTGTGATTATTTTTTTTTAGTGAAGCTTGCTTTTTACATTGTAACCCTAATACAAATTCAATGTAGTGTCTCTTGTAGAAAGTTTTGATGTCAGAGAAGTCTAAAAGAAATTCTTCTTCTCACCCAGAATTCCTCCGCCTGGAAAGGACACTCAGTAATATTTCTGTCGTTCCGTCCAGTCGTTTGTTAATTATATAAATTTTTGTACCTTCTGAGCTGTTTTTACTCTTAATAACACACTGACTTTTGAGCATTTCCCCATGAAAGATATTTCAAAAGCCTGATGTTCAAATATTGCCTAGTGTTCCACTGAAATTGTGTACCGTGGTGTATTTAACCATGCCCCCTTTTGATGGGTCTCTAACTTCTTTTCCATGTAGAACTTTTATAAACCACACTTGTGTATAAAGCCCAGCCTCTTTCTCCGCCACTTTCTCCAGGGTGAACTCCAACGGGTAAAATGACTGGGCCAGAGTATGAACTGTCTGACTCGGGGCCTGGATGCCTTCGTGCTTGACCTTGCTGAGCTGCTTCTCAACGGCCAGGTCCGGGCCTTGGCTTGGCGGGGGAGAGAAGCCCCGACTTTGACGGTCCTCTGTGCACACAGCCCTCAGGGAGCTGCTGACCATGGCCCCACCTACACTCACTCCTCAGACGGGCCTTGGACAGCGGCAGCTTCCCTTGGGCCTTTACCATGTTTGCTCCTATAAAATGGAAATTGGGACAGGAGGGTGTGAGTGCTTGGGTGAGACGGTCTAGCTATCCCCTCAACTGTGTGCACCCCAATGTGCCAAAGGAGGCATTTTTTGTGACCAGCTAAAAACTCCTGGAGCATAAGGCAAGAGGGAAAAGAAAGGAGACAGTGTTTCTTTAAACTACTTCCACGAAGTCTCCCAAGTCAGATGCCAGCAGGACCTTCTTTCATGTTGGCTAAGGTCAATGGCTACAGAAATTGACTGGGACCCCTCTGCATGCCCACCGCTTCCAAACCCACACGGGACCCCCCGTCCGCTGCTGTGAGCCGCCCCTTGGTCTCCCTGCCCTCAGTGCCAGGGCTGCGCCTCCCCAAGTCCCTGGACACCGTGCCCGTCACTAACGTATCTGCCAGAATTCCAGGTGTCGTTGGCACTGGGTCTTGAATTCACTGGTGCATGGAGTATAAGGTGCACCGTGCTTTCAGAAATGATAAAAATGAGTTTGAAAAAAACATAATTTCTTTGTATTTCATTTCAAGAAGGATACAAATAAAGCAAACTAAAAATGAACAGACTTATTTAAATTTTTAAAAACCCAGCAGACTCTGTGGCCTTTGACCCCGATCAGTGATGCTATGAAGTTCCCCTCTCTGCTGCCAACGCGAGACCACGATAAACGTCAAGGACAAGCCCCGGCTGGTGCAAACACCAGACAGCTCCGCCGCGGCCCAGGCACACGAGCTGCTGAGTGTCGGCAAAGCCACGGGCCTGCTGGCCCACACGTCCCGACACAGAACGGGACACGAGGCTGCGAACAGGGCCAGGCTGCGTGTGAGAAATGAGCAGAGGGGGGATCGCCCCTGTTTCAGAAAGGAGTCTGAAAACTCGGTTTTCACATTTCATGAGGCAGCAGCTTCTCGGAGGTGCGGCCCTGCAACAAGGGGGTGTACATACAGTCTCCTGAGTCTCACGTCCCTTGGTTTGACAGGTGGACCCCGAAGGGCAGGAAGTGCGACCCGTTGCTGCCGATACAAAACGTGTTCTGCACCGAGGACCAGGCGTCACCGGTGCAGCCCCAAAACACCAGGGCGGGTCGGGAGGGAATACACAGAGAGACAGAGAATGTGAAAGACAGTCTTTTACCCAAAAGTGAGCCTACAAATAAAAACTCTGTAGCCAAGGAAGACATCTAATGCTAAGAATAATGGCCACCAAAATAAATAATTATAATATCAATGAACTCCAGATAAAGTTAAAATCATAGAACAGTCTGCAAATGAAAAGACTTTAAAGACAGCATACTTAGGGTCTTCCGTGAGAATAATGAAATATATAACATCTGTGAAAAGAGTAGCCATGAGAGCGGGGGGAGAGGGCAGGCACTAACCGATGAGGTGGCCATGAAAAAGTGCCTTTTAAGAGGAAATCCAGTGACCTTCCATTTCCAGGAAGATGGAGTAGGTGCGTTCTTCCCTGTTCTTTCAGCAAAGCACAGCGGAGAACGACCTTTTCAAAAAGACTCCGAAAGGCTGAGAGAGAAAAGCAGGCTGGGTGGGTTGCTCCGGACCCCAGGGACGGCACAGCGGCGAGCGGCTTGAGTGCTCTTCCGCATCACACATCTCAGAGTTAAAGCCAAAGAAGCGGGCAGCCCGGGGCAGACAAACACGGCCTCGGCCTCCCCAGAAGCCCGCTCTCTCGAGCCAAAGAACCGGGAGAGGAGCAGCCTGAGAAGACAGGGAACACGCAGACAATACTCTCTCTGTTCCAGCCCAACGCTGCAGAGAGGCGGCGGCCCCCCACCACTCAGGCCAGCAAAAGCCCAGAGGGAGGCCTAGACTGACACCTTCGCTGAGCCGGGTGTTGCAAATGCTCTTCAAATGCCAAGGGCCGAGGAGGGGCTGCAGCCGGGGCCCCTGTCGGGCTGGGTATGAGAGGCGGCCAAAAACTTCCCAACATTGATTAAATATATTCATCTGCGTATCCAAGCACCTCCACAATCTCTGAGTAGGATACACTCAAGCACACAGACGCATCCTAAGCAAAAACCTCAAAGTCAAAGACAGAGAATCTTGAAAGCAGCAGGGGAGACGCAAGCGATCATGTATAAAATCATGTATAAAGTGTGGTCAATACATTTAATAGCTGGTTTCGCATCAGAAACCGTGGATGTCGGAAGGCAGGGGCAGGGCAGTTTCGACACGCTGAAGGAAAAAGACTGTCAGCCGAGGGTTCCAGAGCCAGCAAAACCGTCTTGCAAAAGAGGAAAGAGAACTTAGCACATTCCTAGATAAAGAAAACTGCAGGGCATGCATCACCAGCAGACCAGCCTTACAAAAAATAATAAAGAAAGCTCTTTCCGGTGAAATGAACGGGCACTGGGCAGAAACCGGGGTCCGTATGAAGAATAAAGAGCATCAGTGAACGCACCAACGTAGGTCAACATGAAAGATGGTATAAATGTGTTTCTGTCTGTAACTCTATTTTCTCCGGTCTTATTTAAAAGATAACTGCAAAAAGCAACAATTATAAATCTGTGTTGATGAGCATACACTATGCAAAAATGTGATTTGCATGATAATAATAGTTCAAATGAGATGGGGAGGAGATGATGGTATTTGAGATAAAGGTCTTCGAAACAGTTCTGGCTGGCGTAGCTCAGTGGATTGAGTGCGGGCTGCAAATCAAAGCATTACAGGTTTGATTCCCAGTCAGGACACATGCCTGGGTTGCGGGCCAGGTCCCCAGTGGGGCCACATGAGAGGCAACCACACATTGATGTTTCTCTCTCTCTCTTTCTCCCTCCCTTTCCCTCTGTCTAAAAATAAAGAAATAAAATCTTTAAAAAAAAAACTCTTCAAAACTATTGAAATAAGTTGGTGTTAATCCAAACTAGGTTTTTATAAGTTGTCAGTTGTCGTCCTCAGTGTACTCTGTTAGGAGTATGACTCAAAAAGCATGTTAAAGAAATGACAAAGGAATCAAAATGGTGCACTAGAAAATATCTATTTCACATGAAAAAGGGCAGTAATAGAATAACAGAGGAACAAAAAATAGGACATATAGAAAACAAATAATAAAATGGCAGGTGCAAATTCCACTAATTAGTAACAAGTTAAGTGTAAATGGACTGAACACTCCAGTTAAAAGGCTGAGATTGGCCGAATGAATTTTTTAAATGACCCAATTCAATGCTGTGTATGAAACATACTTTAGTTTTAAAGGCACGAGTGATCTGAAAGTAAATGAATGGACAGTGGCATGCTATTCACAGTAACCAGAGGAGAACTGGAGCACTATCAGACAAAACAGACTCTAAGACAAAAAATGTTACTGGAGAAAAGGAAGGACATTTCGGCACCTGGCTGGTGTAGCTCAGTGGATTGAGCACCGGCTGCAAAACAAAGGATCGTGGGTTTGATTCCCACTCAGGGCACCATTATTATATGAAATGTTAAAGGGATTTATTTAACAAAAAGATCACAACTATGAACAATAAATTGGCAATACATACATATCTATCAACAATTGAACCTAAACAAACCAAGCAAACAAGGAGAACAGACAGAACCGTGGACACGGAGAGTGTTCTGACGGTCGCCAGATGGAAGGGGGTCTGGGGGAGAACGGGGGCAGAGGTGAGGGCAGTAAGAAGCACAAACGGAGTCACAGAACAGCCCTGGGGGTGTCAAGTACAGCACAGGACATGGGGCAGCAAAGAACTCATACACACACTCCATGGACGGGAACAGTGGGGGGGGGACTGCCTGAGGGAGGGGGAGGTGCTGTGTGGAGCGGGGAATGGGGGGGGTGGATTGGGACAGCTGTAATAGCATAATCAATACAGTGTCATTTAAAGAAACTGTGACGACACCAGTGAGGATACGGAAAACCAGGTGCGTCTCCGGTGGGAACGTGGAAGGGGTGCGGCCGCTCCGGAAAACAGTTCGGCGGGTTCTCAGAAAGCTAGGCCTGCCACTGCCGCTCACCCCAGCAACCGCATCTGCCCCAAAGAAGTGAAGACCTGGGGGACACTGGGGCGGAGGGGCCGTGTGCGTGGCTCGGGAGGGCCACGGGCCGCTCCCACACCCCGGCGGCGGCGGCGGAGTCGGCTTCCTGGCCGGGGTGC